GGCTTGGCTTGGCCCGGCCCGGCCCGGCCCGGCTGGAGCAGTGGGTGGGGGCTGCTCGTGCCCTTCTTGGCAGGGGGAATCCGGGCTAATCGGTTAAATGTGACATCTGACCGGTTAGCTGATTTAAATGGGATTTTACATCCCTACTCTGAACAAACCAGCCAGGAGCAGCTGCCTCCCCTCCCCGCCTTGCCTGCAAAACGCTGCTTGGATATGACACTTGATCCACTCAGCTACTGCCCCCTTGTTTCTCAACTTCTAATCCAGGTTGGACTGACAGGGCAGCCTGTAGCACATAGGTGCCTATGCTCTGCTTAAACAAGTCAAAGATCTTACCTAGGCTCTCTAGGTGACCCAAGAGTCCTACCTACATGGGTCTCTTAGCAAGTTTACCATTCACTATTGGAGGGAAAGGCTCTAGCAATGGAGAGCTGCCCAAGCCTTTCACTGTGCTGTGTAGGTGCATACAAACGAGGAATGAGAGTGCACCCTGCCTTCCACCACCATAACTACTTAGGTCTGTAATGCCTGTTCTCTATTCACTCTGTTAAGTGTGGGCAAAGCATCAGAGGATTTTGTTAAAATTGTTTGAACTGAAACTTGCCATAGCCTTTAACTATCTGTGTCTGAACTGAAAGATTAATGCATAGATGCTCTTATATGAGGTTAACAATCCAGGAGTGTGAATAAAATAAACAGGACTGTTTATACTTGGGTGCTTGAACTGACCCTTTCAGCTGTGTTGTACTCTTGAAATTCCCACCTCCCTTTTGCCCAGTGTGAAAAACTTACGTAATGATATTTTACAGATACATCAAATGCATTCCAAGATGTAAATGTAAGTGGTAACCATGTTATTTGGTTAATGTTTTGACAGTCACTGCAAGAAAATGATTATTCCCGTCAGATGCTTCACTTGTGGCAAAATAGTTGGAAATAAGTGGGAAGCATATCTTGGCCTTCTCCAAGCAGAATATACAGAAGGGTAAGTATTTCTTTATGGTCCTTGGCCCTGATCTTGCAAACAGTTACTGAGACTTGGTCTGTGCTAGGGAAGTAGAGTGACATAAGGTGTCTTATGTTGACCTAACTGTCTTTGTCTACACTGCAGTGATGCTTCTGCTGCTGTAAATCACCCACTACATCAACTTAATAACTCCATGTTTGTGAGAGACATGGTGCTTAGGTAGCACCGTATCTGTGTAGACACTGGAGACCAAGCCCCAGTGCTAACAGCCTGAGCTGTCATGTCAGTCAGGCACCATTTTGATGCTACCCCACACTTCCTGCACATTCAGCTGGGCACCGGGCTCATACCTTGAGCCTCCTGCCCTGGTATTGACAGTCAGAGCTGGAGAGGGCATGAAATAACAGCAGCCATAAAACGGACAAGAATGTCCATTTCACTACTGGTAAGCTTTCTGCTATGAAATTGACCTCAAGCCCCAGGAATACAGGTGCCACTCAATTCTGCTGTCGGTGCCCCACTGGTAGGAAGAAGGTAGCATGATCAGTGATATCAGATTTAATTGCTGTGGTGGCTGTAGGTTGACCTAATTTTGTAGACAGGCCCTCAGTGCTTATGCATTGACTTTATTGGGGTAGCGCCTAAATTTAAGCCATGTTAATCTGGATCTGCAAAAGCGACGAGGAGTCCTGTGGCACCTTATCAACTAACAGATGTATTGGAGCATAAGCTTTCATGGGCAAAGACCCACTTCGTCAGATGCACGTAGTGGAAATTTCCAGGCAGGTATAAATATGCAGGCCAGAATAACGCTAGAGATAATGAAGAAAGTTCAGTCAAGGAGCGTGAGGCCCACTTCTAGCAGCTGATGTGGTGTTCACATCTCCACATCAACTGCTAGAAGTGGGCCTCACGCTCCTTGACTGAATTAACCTCGTTATCTCTAGTCTTATTCTGGCCTGCATATTTATACCTGCCTCTGGAAATTTCTACCGCATGCATCTGAGGAAGTGGGTCTTTGCCCACGAAAGCTTATGCTCCAATACATCTGTTAGTTGATAAGGTGCCACAGGACTCCTCGTCGCTTTTGCAGATCCAGATTAACATGGCTACCCCTCTGATACAGTTATGTATGTAACTATTCACAGGGTTTAGTTTGCTTTTCCCTGTCTCCTAAATATAGGACTTTTTACTAGCTCTACATCTTGTCTGTAAAGTGAACAAGGGCACCAAATGCTTGATTTTTTTTTTTTAAATTTTTTTTAATTTTTTTTTTTTTTTTTTTTTTCCCCCCCAGGGATACTGGGCACTCACATCTTATGAAAGTTAGTAAGTGTTCAACAATTTAGAAAAAACTACCCTGTCTGCCCTGAAGGGAGAGCTAACATGGAGACTTCACCATAAAGCCTACACCACATTCCTTCAACCACACAGATAGGGGGGGAAAAGCTGTTGCCATCCCACTCTGTTGCCTCTGATACAGAGGCAGCAGTACGGAGTGGTAGGGGGCTCACTGGCTGTCTCCCCCCTGGAGACTATGGAATAGTCAAATAGCCAATAAGAATTCATAAGGTTAATCCACTATTCAGTTACCCATTCACATCTTTAGTAGGGATGTTAAATAATCGGTTAACTGGGTAACTTGTCACCCAGAAAGTATCACCCTTACTGGGTAAGAGTTAACTAGCACCTGGGAGCAGCTGCTCCAGCCCTGCTCAGTCCACAGCACAGCTGGCCAGGGCAGGCACCAGTAGTGGCCTGGGATCCTGCTTAATTGGTTAGCTGGTTAAATGTTAGGTTTAACTATTTAACTGATCAAACAGGATTTTACATCTCTACTGTCCACTTGAGCTGTATGCCGGAGCACACAGTTTCTGAAAATCACATACCTATAAGGTGTCTCAGGTTGGACTCCCAAAACTGCTTGTCATCTTTGAAAGTTTAAAGAGGCTTTTTTGGGAGTATGCCATATCCTTCAAATAAAATGATTAATCACAGAACTGTCCCTCAATATATGGTTGATAACCATAATGCTACTCCACATTTAACAATTTCTACTTAGAGCTTCCCAAGAGCTGGAATTATCCTGTAATTTGAAAGAGACTTCTCTCAAGTCTCACTATAAAACTCAATTGTGTTGCAGACAGATTCTAAGTGTGCACTAAAAATAAGCTTTCATAAGTCATTTAAAAATAAATCACAAATTGTTTATTTTACCAACTGTTATGTACAATTGACAGATAAGAATACAAAAAAATACTTCATTGTGCATTTGACCATTATGTATTGCTACTTTCAGTGTTTGTTCTGCATAGTCTGTTTTCCTTTAAGGCAGCTTCTAACAAATCCAGCTTTTCTATGAGGTTTGGTAAAGATGGGAGTCTTAAGCCCCAGACAGACTATGAAGCTGAGATTGGGTTTATAAAAAAACCCTAAAAGCTTTCCTTGCCTAGTCTTTAAACACATGGGAATTCATAATCCACCCCCTTTAGCCTCTTCAAAGCTTCTTGCCAAGGCTGTAGAAAAGACTTATCTTGCAACTGAGATTTTATTTCTCATTTGTCAGTTGTGTTAGATAAATGTGCAGTGAGACCCAGTCAGTATTTTTCCTAAATCCCACTGCTAGTCTGCTTATAGGTGCCCTTCCAGAAAGATCTTGTTGAACTCAGGTACTGAAGATCCAAGAAGGAAATTATGGCAATTTGTGCTGTAGCTTCATCACATAGCTTGTAGTAACAGAGCAGGATTCCATGAACTCTTTTTTAGAATGCTTGTTTTAATAGCTATTTATCTTGATTGTTTTTTATGGCAATTTGCTAACTACCATTCAGTTCTTAGATACTGTATTTAGGAATGTTAACCAGTAAGCAACAGTATGCTTACCAGTTAACCGGCCTTTACTAGTTATCTCTGGTGGTTGCCACCTTGCCAGACTGAAGCAGCCCTGGCCTTGGAGGGCCTGGGCAGAAGTATTTCTCAGCCATGGTGGGGCCAAGGCATACTAGGTCAGATGAATGGTCCATCCCTCCCAGTATCCTGTCTGCTGACCGTGGCCAATACCAGTTGCCCCAGAGGGAGGGAAAACAGGGAATCTTCACGTGATCCCTCTTCTGTCACCCACCTACAGAGAAACAGAGGCTAGGGACACCATTCCTACTCATCCTGGCTAATAGCCATGGATAGACCTAACCTCCATGAATCTATCTAGCTCTTTTTTGAACCCTATTAAAGTCCTAGCCTTCACCATATCCTTTGGCAAGGAGTTCCACAGGTTGACTGTGCGCTGAGTAAAGGAAAAATTCCTTTTGTTTGTTTTAAACCTGCTGCCTATTAATTTCATTTGGTGATCCCTAGTTCTTATATTGTGGGAATAAGTAATAACTTTTCCTTATTCACTTTTTCCACTCCAGTCATGATTTTATAGACCTCTATCATATCCTCTCTTAGTCTCCTCTTTTCTGAGCTGAAAAGTCCAAGTCTCTAATCTATCTTCATATGGGACCTGTTCCAAACCCCTAATCATTTTTGTTGGCCTTTTCTGAACCTTTTCCACTACCAATAGCACTCCTCTAAAAAAATATATCATTTAACTGGTTAACCATTTTAATATCCCTGAGTGTGTGTATTGTTTGCAGTCTTTAGTTTAAGCTATGATGAATTATATGAATGTGGCAGAAATGTATGTTTGAGACCTGATGGGATTGTTAGATACACTGTGGACTGGTTCTGGTCTCACAAGTGTAAATCAGTAGCAATTTAACTTTATGGAGTTACAGCATTGTAGTATCAGAACATGGGTTATAGCTACACTAAGGAGCTTACTGTGGTGAAGCTGCACCTATGCAATTGTGCCACTGTAAGCTCTCTAATATAACTGCTCTAAGCCAGCAGGAGACCCATCAGCTTAACTACTTCAGCCTCCATGAGCAACAGTAGGAGCTCTCATGCTGCCATAGCTCTGTCCATTCCAGCTGTTATGTCGGTATAAGTTATGACACAAGGAAAGTAGTTTATTCTTACTTCTGAGTGATATACATTGTACTGACAAGCTGTAGTGTAGACATAGCTTTAAAGTTACAGTGAAGCTCACATATTGTGTTTGCCTGATATATGCAGTCAGAAACAGTATGTCCTAGAGTCACACATTGATTTTTTCATACTATTACATTGTGTACATTCCTTTGTCCCCTAAGGCGAGGAGAGTTTCTGCATGATCCTCTCTATTCTGCCACCTGCAATGAAACTGCATACAGTTTTAGGTAATGGCATGCAGCTTTCTGACAGCTGTCTGGGCAGATAAATGTATCAGATGCAACTAAAAGCACTTACTGTAACTTTAGAAATGAGTTTAAAAAATGGAGAAATCTGAGGTTTCAAAGCAGGGTTAGTGGCAGAAACTGCTGTGTCTCACTAAACATTTTTTTCTTCCTTATAAGCACAAGCTCCTGGAAGATTGGAGAAGAGAGGAAATGGGTGCTTCTGAGTATTGATTTAGCTTAAACTACACATGTATAGGATTTCTAATTTTGTAGCTCATTCTTGTATTCTGCAGCTGTGTCAGAACAGTACGACTTAAGGTCAGAATTTTCTAGAGGAACTTCTCAGACAAATTCTTATTTGAAAAGTGTTCTGCTTTGTAAAAATATGAAGATGCAGTGTGGGGCATTAGTCATAAAAATCATATTTCCTTTGCCCTTCTTACAAAAAAAAAGGATTTACTATAGAAACTCTCATGTAGAACTTGAAGGATAACTTTCTGCACATGCTTGTTTTGCACTAGAAAATATTCTACTTGCTGTTGAAGCCCCACTCTTAAAATAAATTGGATAAACCACTAACAAAACTGTAGGAGCAATCCTATGTCAACAGGTGGAAGGACTAGATTAGAAAAATTTCTGGATCTTCTGATTCTGAGAACATTATTTAACCCTTATCACCAGGGTCTGCACTGGCTCTTCCGGGTTGTAATCTACTTGCCATGGGTAGATGGTGATCAGGAGATCGAATGGGAAGAGCTGCTGTTCATGAACTCTTAGGAATAACTGAAAGAAGTTCAGGAAGTTTTTACATTAACTGGATCTTAATAAAACGTTTGGATGCGATAAGCATGGCTCGACAAATAATGTAGAGTAGGGGCGAGTAGATTACATTATTTGTCAAGCCCTGCTTATCGCATCCACCCAAACGTTTTATTAAGATCCAGTTAATGTAAAAACTTCCTGAACTTCTTTCAGTTATTCCTAAGAGTTCATGAACAGCAGCTCTTCCCATTCGATCTCCTGTACAGTGTCACAATTTTGTTTTTAAGTTCATTTTGGGAATAAACACTGAATTATTGCAACATTGAATAATGCAAGTCTAATAGATTAATAGTCCTATGAATCAGTCCATACATTTCGGGGATGTCAAATGAGTTTTTGAAGAAAACTGAATTACATTTAGTTATGTTCCATGGTGTGGGACTATAAAGTTCAGATTGATCTACTGGGAGCTGTATATGGTGAATGAGGATAGAATACGGCTCATGTAGTGGGCAAACTTCTAACTTGGGGTGGGCAAGAGGCTGCCAGGGGGCCAGATATGGCCTTCGGCCACCTTGCTAAAACCCTTAGAGAGCAGCTCAAGTTTTAAAAAACCAGCTGCTTTCCACTCTGGATGGCTGGTGAGGGAGGACAGAATCTGCATGCTACCCCTGTCCCCCCAGCAAAATCTTAGCTCCCATTGGCCCATTTCCAGCCAATAGGAGATGAGAAATTTTGCTAGCATCAGGGGCAGTGTGAAAAGCCACCTCCTTTCCCCCTGCCCCATGCCTGGAGCAGAGCCATATGAAACAGGCTGCAGCAGTCTGCCTCAGGTTTCTGCAGAGCTACTGGCTGGGAGCCACCTAGGTAAATGTCTCCGAGCCAGAGCCTGTCTCTGACATCCCACCCTCTCTCTCCCCCCCTTCTGACTACCTGCCCCAGGCCACCATCTAAACCCTGTGTAGCTCTCCCTCCCCCCCTTCTTCCTGGTCACAACTCCCTCCCAGACCCTGCACCCCCATCTGCACCCCTCTCCCATGCCAGAATGCTCTCCTGCACCCATACCCCCTCCCTGACCCTGCACCCCATTTCCCCACCCCAGATCACCACCCAAACTCTCTGCACCCGCTTCACCCAGATCACAACTCCTTCCCAGACCTTGTACCCCCTCCACCAGGCCAAAATCCTCTCCTGCACCAGTACCCCCTCCTAGACCGTGTACCCAAAACCCCTGCCCCAGATCACAAGCCCCTCCTTTACCCAAATGCCCTCTCAGATCCCTCATCCCCTCTTGCATCCCAGTTCCCTACCCCAAGCTTCCTTCTGCACCCAACCTCCATCCCAGACTGCACACCTCCTCCATAGAAGTGCAGCCCTTGACTACTTGCCAAAATCTTGGAGTGGCCCCCCATCAATTATTGCCCACCCCTGTTCTAACTACATTTAGCATAATTTAAGAGTGGGTTAAAAGTGGAAAACAAACCGCATTTTTAAGAGTGTATAATTTGAGCCATTGGCTTTATTACCCAGTTCACACATGCAGTTGCATATGTTTAAATTTTTAGAAAATTTGCTTCACCAATATCTAATTTATGAACTGGGGTAGTTCACACTTGTGACCTATTAAAAATAGCTTCAGGCCTGTCTGTACTTGTTCTTTTAGATAACATTTAGCTTTCTTATTTGCAGTATGAGTCTCCCAGCTCAAACATCTGAGTTAGACAATATTATACCCAGTTTTACAGATGGGAAAACTGACCTTGTTTGAGCTGGGAAACTAATCTACATCATTCAAGTGTCTTAACCATAGTACAAGTTCTAAAACAGCATCCCTGTTACCAAGGTAATGTCTCTGGCCATCTAAATTTTTAAATCTGAGTAGATCCCTCGTCTATGCTACCCATTGCAACAGTGGTAAAACCAAGTCTCCTTACTCAGGCTATGTCTACACTGCAGCTCTTTTTTAAGATATTGGAGGTATCTCAGAAAAGCTATGCCACGTCCAAAGAATGCATCTGCTTTTCCAAAAAAAAAAATCAGAAAAGCAGACACGTTCTTTCACCATCCCTGTAAACCTTGTTATACGAGGAAGAAGGGATGTGCTATAAGAGGAGGCTTTTCTGAAATTTGGCACCATGTAGACATGCCAAATTTCAGAAAAGCCTCTTCTGAAAGAAAAATGGGAAAAGATACACAAATTGCGTATCGTTTTCCAACTTTTCTTTGTAGTGTAGACACAGCCTCAGTTATAATAATGTAAATGGGGCCTAAACATGATGCATGGGCTTATTTAAAAGTCATGTTCACAACCACGAAGTCTAAACTTGTTTCCTGGCTGGAAAAGCTTGCATACAGCTGCCAGGGTTTTGTTTGACATTGTCTGTCTTAGTGAAGAGACTCTTTCTGAACTATACATAGAGCTTTTGGATTTCCAAAAGCAGTTAATTGTGACCTGTGGGAATAGGTAGAGTCATATTTACCACCTGTAAGAAAAAGATGGAGATATCAATGTCAGCTTGACTATGTATTTAACTTCTGTTGCACAGAAAGGGTTTAACCCCATTGTTGAATTAATCTGACAGAGCCAGGCTTAAGCTATATGTCCTGCTCAGCAGCAACATTGGAAAAGAACATTAACTAATAGAAATAAAGACACTTGTGCAGGACTGAGCAGGAGCTCTAGAAGCTGCCAACTACCTATGTGTTTCTCTTGTCACTCCAGTTAAGGTCTTAAATATGTTGCTTAGAACAATTTTCACTATTACTGTTCTAAGGAATACTTTTTCAATTTGTTCACCGTCAGGGATGCCCTGGACGCCCTAGGATTGAAAAGGTACTGTTGCCGCCGAATGCTGCTAGCCCACGTGGATCTGATTGAGAAGCTCTTGAATTATGCCCCTCTGGAGAAATAAGCAGTGGGTGGAAGCTTTCATACTGCAGCCATATGGCCCAGAAAACACCACTAGCAAGCTTCCAGCTGGACTCTTTAGGAATTGGAGAGATGCAAACCATCCACGCAGCAGCCAATGAAGGATTTCACTTTCCAGCCATAATACTGCTCCCCACTAATCTCTTCTAAGGAAGCATCTTAGGGTTTTTGTTTTGTTTTTTGGTTGGTTGGGTTGGGTTTTTAAGCCTGACAGTAAAGTAGGCAGCTTTCTTCCCTCTTTTCCCTTTGCTTCATTATTGTTAAGAAATGTTCTCCCAGTGAAAAAGTATTTAATAAAGTATTTTTATGGAATGTAGTCAAGTTGTATTGTGATTACAGAATTGTATTTAAGTATCCTCTTTCTCTCCCCAGTCCAATTCCAGTTTCTGGAAAGGGTTTTAGTGTACAGTCAATTTGAATTCCTTATTCCTGATGTTAAAGTTAAAACACCATTCAGTGCTGAGAATAAAATTGTTCCTTCTCTCGAGCAGTTGCTCATGCTAGTGTACATAGATAAGGCTAGATCTGAAGTTCTGAGTTCCAACACAGTAAGTAAAGTGAGGTGCTATGTAAGAAGTGAGGCCATTTTGTGAGAGCAGATATTCCTCCTCACTATCTGGTATTTCCTTCCACAGTGAAAGAGGCTAATGGCCTTCACTGGAACTTAGCTTGAGAGCACCTATGCTTCATTTAGTTTAGAAAGTTGATTAGAAAAAACAAATGAAGCAGTCATGGTAGCCTGATCATGGATGCACTTCCATGCTTAACTTGTAAGTTATCCCACTAAAGCCAATGAAACAGCTTAAGTGAAGTTGAATATGCATGTTAGTATTGGCAGCACAGAGGGCTGTGGCCTTGATCCTGCAAGGAGCTGAGCAACCTTTGTCTGACTAATCACATCTTAATGTAACATATGTACTTAACTGCTTTGCTGGATCAGGGCCAGAATGCTCAACAGCTTCCGTAACTGAATTCTAGGTTCTCAGCAGTAACTCTTACAAGTCTTAGCTGTTACCTCTTTAAGAAAGAGCAAGTGTTAGGCAGACCCTTTCCTAGGCAAGGCTGGAGGAGGATAGTTAGTTACTTAATCTCTAGATGCTGTCAAAAAGACATTGATTAAGTCTTCTAGCTAGGGCCTACCAAATTCACTGTCCATTGTGGTCAATTTCACAGTTACAAGATTTTTTTAATGATACATTTTATGATTTCAGCTATTTAAATCTGAAATTTAATACTGGTGTAATTGTAGGGATCTTGACCCAAAAAGTAGTGGTGGGGGGTTGCAATACTGTTACCTTAGTTCTGCGATGCTGCTCATGGTGGTGCTGCATTCAGAGCTAGGTAACTGGAGAGAGATGGCTGCTAGCCAGAAGCCCAGCTCTGAAGGGAGAGCCACCACCACTGTCTGCAGAAATAAGAATACCACAATATGGTATTCTGTGCAGCTGCTGGTGGGGTGCTTGCTTTCAGAGCCGTGTACCCAGCCAATCACTGCTGCTGTCCAGCTATCCAAGTCTGAAGTCCGTGCAGAAGTAAAGATGGCAATACCATGCCCCCCTAAAATGTGAAGTCCCCTTACCTGTGACTACCTCTTGGGTTAGGACCCCCACTTTCAGAAACACTGATCTCCCTCATGAAATCTTTATAAATAGGGCAAGAGCACACAAGACCATATTTCACAGTCCATGATGCATTTTTCATAGCTGTAAATTTGGTAGGACCCTATCCATAGCTAAAGGGAGGGCTACGCTTTTCTCACTGCTTTCCTTTGTAACATGTGGCACTTGTGTCTTTACTGGCTGAAATACTTCATTTCCACATACTTTGTTGAGGGGCAGGAGGGAGGGAGTGTAAGAGGGACAGGTCCTACATTGTGTGCATGCCCAGAACACTGCCTTTGAGAATGCAGCTTCAGCCTATGTGCAAATGTCAGACAAATCAGAGCCACATTAGGTTGCTAGAAGATAAACTGGAGCAGATAGTCCACTAATTCTCTGACTTGGAGACCATATTCCTTGGCAACACTTCACTTTCTTGGCACATACACCATAGCCATTGGGTAAAAAATAACTGGATTTTTTCCCATAAAACTGAAAAGCTGGGTTAAAAAAAATTAGTTTCTAGATGAATGCTGCTTAAGAACTAGAACTACTAAGCACAACTGTCTCTGTACTGTGGTGCCATTTTGCCACGATACCTTTCGTTGAGCTTTAACAATTCTCTATAAAAGTTCATTAAGTTACCTGGCTTCTAGCTATAATGATCAGGCCCAAGAATCTTTATGGTTTAAACTTCCTTTTCAGTGTGTTACTGGGAGACAGTGTCCCAAATGAACTGCTAAATGGAATGGTCTGTATTTTAAAACATTCTTTATCCTAATGCAGAGGGCATTAAGTGATTAATTTTTGTGTTTGTGTTTCATGGTTGGATAGCTTATGTTCTCCACATCTGCCATATTATCTAGGAAAATACATTAAAATCATTGTTTAAGGTTTCGTGGTTAATGGGACACTGTCACATACATTAGGTACCTTTACAAATGCTTCCATGAAACAGCATTTCTTGGTTAGATTAGATGATAGGAAGCCAAGTATCCTGTTTTTAACATACTTTATCTTTTTAAAGTCTCCCATCTAGGGAAAACTTAAGTCTATTCTCTTTCAGAACAGATGCAACACAAGATCATGGATAGGTCATGTGAGAATAAGAGGCGATAGATCCTATAATAGAAGTAGTGATTGGATTCTTAAAACCACAGATTAGTTCAAAAGACATGGATGGGGGGGGGGCGCTTAAGAGACATTCTTCTCTTGAACTCCTGTTGTGTTTGTGCTTAGATCTTGGAGTTTCCTAATCTTATGACACCAAATCTTATGACACCAATCCAAGTCAGAGACTGGATTTCATGCTAAAAAAGTGATAGTGGAATTGGCAAGTCACAATAAAAAAAGCATTAAAAAGAAATAGAGCACATCAGACAACTTGTTTGCATCATAGCCCACAGTCCTAGAGGGGTGATATGTGAAACATCCTGAGATTTTATGTCAACAGCAAAAATGACCCCGTCATGAGACAACACAAATGGACAACGTACTGGAACAGGTTAGTCTTGTGTCAACACCACAGACACTAGAGCTTTAGGGATAAAGAAGGTGTTGAGCAGGAACAAGCACAAAACACCAGGGCTGCATCTAGACTGGCCAGTTTTTCCGCAAAAAGCACCTGCTTTTGCGCAAAAACTTGCCAGCTGTCTACACTGGCCGCTTGATTTTGCACAAAAGCACTGACGATCTACTGTCCGAAATCAGTGCTTCTTGCGCAAATGCTTTGACATTCCCATTCGGGCAAAAGCCCTTTTCTGGAAATGTTTTTGCACAAGAGGGCCAGTGTAGACAGGGAAGAATTGTTTTGCGCAAAAAAGCCCCGATGGCGAACATAGTGATCTGGGCTTTCTTGCGCAAAACCGTGTCTAGATTGGCACGGACGCTTTTCCGCAAAAAGTGCTTTTGCGGAAAAGCGTCCATGCCAATCTAGACACTCTATTCTGCAAATACTTTTAACGGAAAAACCTTTCTGTTAAAAACATTTGCGAAAAATCATGCCAGTCTAGACGTAGCCGAGGGCTATGTCTACACTGGGCATTGTTGTGCAAGATATGCAAATGAGGCATGGCGATGAATATTGCTGTGCCTCATTTGCATACCTAATGAGCCGCCATTTTGTGGAGCTGTCTACACTGCTTCTTTTTGGGCAAAAAAACCCCACTTGGGCAGGAGCCGTTCTTCCGGAAAGTATGTGGCTGAATGGCTCCTGCGCAAGAGGGGGTTTTTGTGCAAGAAGGAGCAGTGTAGACAGCTCCTTCTTGCCGAAACTCACTTCTGCAAAATGGCGGATGATTAGGTATGCAAATGAGGTGCAGCGATATTTATTGCTGCACCTCATTTGCATATCTTCTTGTGTAACAATGCACAGTGTAGCTGTAGCCTAGGGCTTTGTCTACGCTGCAGAGTTTTTGCGCAAGAAGCTTTTTGCGGAAGAGATCTTCCGCAAAAACTTCTTGCGCAAAAGCATGTCCACACCTCAAAAGGGCATCACAAAAGCAATGTGCTTGTGTGCTAGAGAGCGTCCACACTGCATGGACGCTCTTGCGCTAGAACGCTCTGATGGCCATTCACAGAATGGCCATCAGAGCACCTATGCTTTTGCCAATAGGGGATTTTTGCACAAACCCCTTCCAGAGCATCCACACCTACCTTTTTGCACAAGAGCTGTAGCGCAAAAAGGAGTTACTCCTTGTGAGGAGAGGAATAACTCTACTGACAAAAGCCCTCGGTTCTGCCAATTTACTTCCGCAAAAATGTGCTTGAGGTGTGGACGCTCTGCCACGTTTTGCACAAAAACCTTGTAATGTAGACGTAGCCAAGAAGATGACAGAGGCATATGAAGTAGAAATACTTAGCTACAAAATGGAAGCCTTTGTTCACTCTCTAGCCTACACTTTGCTAATTTTGGGACTACAAGTAAAGAAGAATCTCAATTTAGTTAGCTAATTGGAAAACCTACAGGCTGATCTCATTTGTATGAAGAAAGCATACAGAGCTCTTATGAAATACGAGTAAACCCATAAGCAATAAGTAAACAAGAATTTTCCTGTTTTTGTCTCCTGATTCTGCTCCTACTACAATCTGTGGCCTGAAAGCACTCGAGTATTTTTCCAGCTACTCCAACAAAAAAGGCATGGCTTTTTTTAAAAAAAATTCCAGGCAGTTCTCAGGGCAGGGTGGGGAGCCAGCACATTATGCTCTGGGCACCACTGAGGGTTGGCTGCCCCCAGCCTTGCCTCTTCCACCCAATATACCATGCCTTCTAATAGTGCAGAGCTAGGCCCACCCTCACCTTGCCTGGGTGCCCAGCAAGTCTGTTGGCCCCTCCTGTCCACCTTAAATCTTTGAACAGAGCAAGTGAATGTGGGAGATCAACCATGTTCAAGTTCTTCCTCTGCCTGAATGAGAGGATTTGAACAAGGATTTCCCTCCCTTTTTAGTGCTTCAACCACTGACCTATGGGATTTCTGAGGTGGGCCCCCTCAGCCTCTTCTCTTGAAGTTGTTCCACTGGGGATAAAGAATTGGAAAGTGAGGGGGGATTGGCCCCAGAGGGTATGTCTACACTACAGAGTTTTGTTGGAAAAACAACTGTGTTTCCGACAAAACTTGAGTTACGTCCACATTGCAATCACGTTCTTCTGAAAGTAAATTGAAAGAACAGAGGGGTTTTTCCAGCATTGGTAATCTTCTTTCTATGAAGAAGAAGCCTT